GTCTTGGGACTCAGGAGTTACATTCCACAGGTCCATAACCCTGCTCCACTATTTACTAGCTATTTAACCTTGGGAAGTTTCTGAATGTCTCTGAGCTTCTATTTCTTCATCTATAAAAGGAAGATGATAATTGTCCCCATCTCACAGAGTAGTTGTAGGATTAAACAGCATCATACGTGTAAGCACTTAACACAGTGTTTGGCTCATAAAAGGCAAAAAATAATATTGGCCATTATCTTTATTATTATTACTGTTGTTACTACTTACCCTGACCTATTGAATTAAAATAGCTGGAGAAGGGCCCTTGAATTGCATGGTTAAAAAAAAAAAAATCCCTGTGATAATTTGCATTACAGATCAGTCTCCTGTAGAAGGATTATGCTTCCACACCCTTGCCACACTCCCTACCAGTAAATTTTCCTATTCTATTGTCAGATTTGGCTCACTGAAATTGTTTTGGCCAGTGGACTGTGAACCACATCCCTGCAAAAGTCTAAGGTGACTGCATACCTGAAGCTGGTCTCTTGCACTCCTGCTTTGTGTTAGAACAGCACTCTGTGCATAGGGCCTGCTCCTTCTCATGCAATCACAGACCAAGAAGACCTATGGAACTGACCCTTAAGCAACCTACAGCCTGAAGCACAGCAATTGCTGAGCTGTAGGCATCCTGTGACATAAATGGAAAATAAATTTTCATTATTATAAGCCACTGAGATCTGGGTTATGCAGCAAAACTGATAGATACACTCTCTGTGATTCTTTTACAATAAAATTATGGAAATATAAAACACTGAGGCCCTGCTCTAGGCTCTTAAGGGAGCTTCTTTTTTTCAGGGACAGATATCTGGCAGAGACTCCGGGAGACACAAGTGTGTATTGAGGTGGAGTGTGAAAGATGTCAGTATAAGAGAATTGGCTCTACTAGCTGATGTTAAGAAATACCCAAAGCTAGGGCACCTGGGTGGCTCAGTCGGTTAAGCGACTGCCTTCGGCTCAGGTCATGATCCTGGAGTCCCCAGATCGAGTCCCGCATCGGGCTCCCTGCTCAGCGAGGAGCCTGCTTCTCCCTCTGACCCTCCCCCCTCTCATGTGCTCTCTCTCATTCTCTCTCTCTCAAATAAATAAATAAAATCTTTAAAAAAAAAAAAAAAGAAATACCCAAAGCTAACATGAAGGCATTCGCTCAACTCTCTCCATGCTCTGTGTAAGAGGGGCAACCCCTTTTCAGCCTTAACACACACCCCACCTTCTATATGTCCCATCTGGGTGATTTCTGTTCCTTTCCAGGCATCTCAAGATGTGCATTTTCATTTTCTGCTGATAGCAGAGGTGTGGGGGTGGGAAGTGTTGACAAGATCCCAATTCCCAGTGTGTTTTTCTCCAGACCTCACTTGGCCCTTACACCACAGGTGATCCCAAAACAACTCCAAGCCCCTGGAAATCCTCATAGACCACCTTTGCTCTATGCTCTTCTCTAAGAACTATGTTAATAACAACATTCATCATTATACAATTTCGATGAAATATATATTAGAAACAAGACCTCTTTCTACTCTTACCAACACCTGCTGTCCCCTCCCATAGTGGTTAAGAGGGGAAATTCTGTCATCAGAATGCTTGCGTTTAAATCCTACTTGCCAGCTGTGTGACCCTGGACAAGTTACCCAACCTCTCCGTGCCTGCATTTTCTCCTGTGTAAATGGGGATTATAAAACTAGTTCTATTGTAGGGCTATTCTGAGAATTATTTGAGTAAATACACATAAAGCTCTGAGACAGGTGCCTGGCATATAGTGAAATGCTCAAACAAATGTTAGCTTTTCACTATTGTTATGAATATGCTCAAGTATCTTGGTCACATGGGCAGAGGCAAATTGAGAGATTACAAATTCCAACCTCCTCTAAATGCTAGAGATGGTCTGGGTCCCAGCCCTCTGCCATACCTCTCAGGATCCACTGCTGTTTTTGCCCTCACTCCGTTGTTCTGGTCTAGGCTGCGGGTGTTCTTACTAGCAGAAAATGAGCTGCAGCTGAAGATTGGAGTGGGAGCCTGCACAGCAATGTCCAGGGAACCATAGGAAGGAGGGGAAGGGGTGAAAAAAAGAAGAGAGGGCCTGAGGGCCTGAGTGCCATTCTAAGTGGGGTCGGGACTGCACTGAGGGGTGGGAGTACCCTGCACAGGGAAATCACTCAGGATGTTTCAAAAAGAAATTATTTATTTCATAATCCATTATGTCCAGGAAAATCAGAGAAGCAGCCTTAGCCTCCCCTATGTCCACTCAAACAATTCCACTCTGGCCCAAACTTACATGTCATCCTGGCATTAACCATCATCCCTAGAAAGTAACTTAATGGGGAATTATTCCCACACTCCCAACTCTGGTTAACATTTATTGAGCACTTCCTACACAAGCCAGGCAATCTGCTAAGGGTTTTGCATATGTTAACTCCCTTGAAACTTCCCTCAAATCCTGTGAGGCCAGAATTGTAAAGATCCTCATTTTGGAGATGAGGATCCAATCTCTGAGAGGTTAAATAAACTGTGTAGGGTCACTGGCAAAGCCAGGAATCAACCTCAAGTTCAGCTGTGCTGCACTCTATGTCTGGTACCACTCTAGAGCATTTACAGTCCAGTAAATGGTGACAGTGATGACCAAGATGAGGGGACAGTCGGGGGGGTTCCAGAACACGACATCTCCCTGTCTCCTTTCTGTCCCTTTCTGAAGCCCTCCCTTCATATTTCCTCCTTCCTGGTACCAACAGCCTGCTGTACTTTTTATCCTCCCTTATCTTTGTCAGAAGGTTGTCGCCATTACCAAGAAGAGTTTCTCATAATTCAGAGGGAATCTCTGAACATCTATGACTCAGCATGCTCTGGGGGAGATGCAGCTGCAACATACTCCAGAAGGAGTCAGGGACTTGGCTTTGAGTCCAACATCTGTCACTAGTTACCTGGCCTTGGCCAAGTCACCTGACTTCAGTGAGCCTTCTGGATAAATGATACGTGTCCTACAAACACACTGTATTCTTGGAAAGTGGCTGTGATGTCACCCCTTCCCACCTTCTCTTCCCATCAAATCATCTCTCTCGAAAGATTCTGCTTCTTCTCTACTCCCCCAGGTATGCTCCACAAACCAAAACAACAGCACGTTCTGGAAAGCCATCTTCCCAAGACCAGGCTCATCTGGTGGCCACAGTGCTCTGGGTAAGTCCTTTCTCCCTTAAAGCACAGCAGTACAGCTTAGTCCAGCTGTCCTCAGACATGAGTGTGCACCAGGATACACAGAAGGCTGCTACCACCCAGAGGGCAGGGCCCCACATCCAGAGTTCCTGATTCAGTTTCCCTAACACGTGCTGGTTGATATCAATGCTGATTTTAGGACCACTTTGAGAACCACTGGTATCATCTTAATATTTGACAAGTATTTACAGAGGCAGGATTAAGTGCTCAGACTACCTCTTGTCAATTCCCAGCTCTTCTGCTTTCTGGCTGTGCAATCTTGGACAAGTCAATTTCTGTGAGCCTCAGTCTCTTCATCTGTATATGGACATGACAATGATGTGTGCCTCATAAGGTTAGCGCAAGGAAGGGTGAGCTCCTGCTGAGAGTCTTCAGCATTCTGCCTGACATTTAGTAAGTGCTCTGTTTGTAAGTTCTTAAAGTTCAAGGGGTTCTAAAGCCCTTGGGGTCATTTAACCTGTATCTCCTCACTTTGCTACATCCCTCAACCCCCAGAAACAACATCTACTGTCACTATTGAATGTGTCTCTATTCTGGGAGCTGCCCAGAAATGAAGGTAAGCTTCAGAGCAAAACAGTAATTAGATAACGACAATGAGCCAAACATGTCGAATCCCTAGGCTGGTGGCTGGGAAAAGGTCAGACTTCTCAGATTCTTGCTATAGGGAAAAAAAACTCAGGACATGGCATCAAAAGCTCAGAATTTCTGGGCGCCTGGGTGGCTCAGTCAGTTCAGCGTCTGCCTTCAGCCCAGGTCATGATCCCAGGGTCCTGGGATTGAGCCCTGTGTCCTGGCTCCCTGCTCAGCAGGGAGTCTGTTTCTCGCTCTGCCTGCCCCTCCCCCTGCTTGTGCACGCTCTCTCTCTCTCTCAAATAAATAAATAAGCTCAGAATTTGAATCTAGGCCCTACCAGGTTTTGCCTGGGTAATCTTAGACAAGTTCAATGTAATCTCAGACTCAGTTTCCTCATCCGTTCAGTGGGGACAATAATGCTTACCTCAAACTGAGTGAGCTGCCAGTTTGTTTTGTAAGCTATGATTCTCCTAGTTGTGAGAAACCCAGCAGCTACCTGAATATTTGTGTCCCTACTGCTCCCAACAATTCAGCCCACGCTCCCTGCCCACCTGGTTGTACTGCCATCTGGAAGTTTACTTAGTGGTCCCTCATTTCTGGGAAAGGCCAGGACACTCCACTCAATCAGCTTTCCCTGGCCTCAGCTTATCCGTGTTTCTGAGGAACACCACTGGCCTATGTACCCAACTACAGGTCATCCCAAAAAAAAGTAATGTTCAGCAAAGGCTAGGAACAGTCATGGTCAGCTACAGCCCTAAACCCCTCAAGAGACAAGATTCATGATAATGTTCATTTTCCTTCTTCTTCTCTTTCCTCCAAGAAGTCAATTTCACCCATCACTGGACATACTTTGAAAGACCTCAGTAAATCCCACAGGAAAGCACCAAAGATTGTTTTTATCATTTTGTTCCATTCCTCCTGTTTGCTTAGTAATCCTGGTAAACAATTTTGTGCAAACAGAAACCTTTTTCATTCTATTGAGTTCTTGCCTGGGGCACTGTTGCCTCAATCTTAAGGTTTGGGGATAGGTGGAGAAAGCACTTTGGATTTAAACTTCCTGATAAGTGGGCATGTGACAAAAATAAAAGAACACCCACTGGCCATTTATTTATTCATACAACCCCCTTGAGGGGGTTGGATAGGAGTGGCTTTCTAGGTATCCATACGGATGTTCTATTTTTTATTACCATTATTAATACCATCATCATCTTCAGAGGCTTGGGCCACAAACACAAGTTGTATTTGTAGAGTGTGAGTTACTCCAGGAGATCAGAGACGGGAGCCCCAGGTCACCTGGTCAGTCACAGGCAAAGCCCTAGAGGAAAAAAAAAAAACCTGGAAGTGTTTGGGTTGGGAAGGGGGCATCAGCAGAACTTGCTGACCTGGTCTGAGCCAGGTACTCTGAACCAGGTACATCTTACAAAGACCCAAAACTTTGCCAGTTTAGAGTTTCCACACTGCCCCACACTGCCCCACTGACCCTCACTGAATTATCACAGCCAGCGGCATTCAGTGACTCTGCACGGAGCACCATGCCCACACCAGGAGCTGAGAGGATAATAAAACCTTCAGCTACAGTTTCCTAGCCTTCTCGCTACAGACTCTCTTACCTCCCGAGCCTTTCCACACAATCCCTGCTCTTTACATTCTCCATCTATGCTGTCCGGGCACCTGGCTTTTTTTTGCCTGTTCCCATGCCTGGAACAGATTAGCACTCTCCACAGCCTTAGCTCCAATTAATTCTTTGTTTTGTTTGATTTCTAGCCAACGGCCAGCAACTCCCTGGGTTTTACTCCCAGTTGCTCAAATAAATAAACCAAATGTTAATTTGTTGCTCTTTGATTACAATTAAGTGCAGAGATGGTGGAACCTGAAATACTGTTTGTCTAGGCGTCCCCAGGAGCACAGTGGTGGCACTGGGTTTTGGTTTAGTTTGGTTTAGTGGGGGAAGGGGACGCCCCTTCTTTGACGTCCATTATCTCATTGGATTCTCTCAATGGCCTGGCAAAGTGGACAGGACAGGAACTATTATCTGCATGTTGCAGATGAGGAAACCAGGCTCAGAAAGATGAAATAAGTTGCCCAAAGCCACACAGCTCGGAAGCAGCTCACTGGGGCTAAAACTCAACCTGACTCCCAGTTCAGCAAAGCTGTTGTGGGTGGCTCTGTCCCCCATCGGCTCATCATGTGGGATAATAATACTTTATGTGATAGAGTTTCACAGACATTTTCTGGGTTATCCAGAGAGCATTCTATAGAGCAGTAGTCGCATGAAACACTATAAGAAAAAATTCTGTGGTCAAGTAGGTCTGCGATAAGCTATATACTATATTCTATTCTTGGAGATCTAGTATATTGATTAGAACATGAAAACCTCTGAGAAGTTCTGCTGTACAAGACTTAGACATATTTATGACCCAGAATTGTCTGAACGTATTTGACTCTGGGGAGGCCAGAGTGGAAGCCAGGAGATCATGTCCCAGCAATACACACAAGAGACTAGGCATGTTTCGACAAAGAGGGACGGCACCAAGGTGGTGAGACATGGGTAGATTCTGGACATATTTCAGATGCAGAGCCAACCAGATTTGTTGGTGGAGAGGATGTAGGGTGTAAGCAAATAAGAGGAGGCCAGGATGGCTCAAAGCTGTTAGGCCTGAGCTATTAGATGAGTAGAATGGCCACTTCCTTAAGAAGCTCTCCCTGGACTAAGAGCTCCATCCTATCACTGCAGCTTCCTACAGCATCTGATCCCCAGCCTTCAGAGATCACAGTTTTCATTTTATCTGTTGATGAGATCACTGCCAATGGCTGAGCTTACAATTTTTTCCTTACTACTGTATCTCCAGCGTCTGGCACATTGTAGTCAATAAATCTTTGCTAAATAAATGAATGAACAGGACTATCATGCAGGAGTTGCTTAGCAAATTGTAGCTAACATACTATTAACCAACCCAGTACAGAGACACTAGTTGATTAGTATGCAGAAGGCTGCTGGAGGGAGGTGGGAGGGGCATGACTGCTAACTGGTTGGAGGACCCAGTTCTAATCTAGAGCCCCGCCCTTCTATCTCTCAACTTGGGTAAGGCCCTTCCCCTCTCTGAGTCCAGTTCTTCTGATCTCATTCAACCAGGGGTAGGATAATAGGATTTCCATCAAACTGCACCTTGCTGCCCATGAATCTAAGTGGAAACCAGGCCTGTATCCTCTGGAATGTGTGATACAGGACAGCCCAACAGAGACCAGGTCTGATCAAATGCTCCACGATCTAGCCCAGCTTAAGTTCTGGACATGCACAGAAAAGAAGAATGCAGTGGTAGCTAGAGTCACCAAGAAGGCTTACTGGAGGTTCTTTCTCCTTCCAAGAGTCTGAAGTAACATGAATATGGTGTTGTTTAGTGGAGAAAAACAACAACAACAATAAAAAAACATTCTCTGGTTTTTCTTACCCCTGGTCCAATTGACAAGATTATAAGAAGAACTTGCCCCTTTCCTGCCCCCAAAGAGGGATCACTGAGCAAAAGCCACTTTTCACCTTGCTTTATGCATCTGAAGTAGTCTTTCTTTTCTCTTCCAGTTAAGGATACACAAAAATACATTTCCCATCTGGACCTTTTTTGATCCATTCTCCCTAAAGGCTGGTCTTGGATCCCTGGATCTGGGTAGCTTGCAGGGGCCTCACCACAAGGCATAGACTGGGTCCCCAAAGTTTCAGCAGCTCTGTCTATGATAGCTCTCTCAGGGAGGGCTCCTGAGCAAATGATTTTCAGTTTCAGTTCATTTGTTTTTGTTTTCCATTTGGTTGCTCAGGGCAAACATCTACCCTGAGAGTTTCTCCCCTGGGGACCATCCACTCTATCGTTGCTTGCCTTGGTGCAGATGTGTAAGGGTCCCCTAGTGCTGAGGCTCTGCTTGCCTCTTTCGTTCTCCAGAAGAGGTCACTACTTGATTAAGAAAAACGGTAACCCCCCCCCAACCCCCCAGTGCCAATCAATGCACAGTTACCAGCCGCTAATAACCAAACCCCCAAAGCCACCCAATCCTTCCTCATATTCTCGCTATTGATTCTATTATCACTGCTATCGTGAAAAATATTCACAGCACCATGTGGTGATTATCACCACCTCAGTCTCACTTTACAAAGATCCCAGCATGACAATCATTTTATTTCTGCCTCACACTGTCCCTGCAGCTGCTACTTACCCCAGTTTATAGGTAAGAAGACTGAAGGACAAAGAGGTGAACTGGCTTACATAAAGATTATCAACAGCAAAGGTGGGATGAGAACCCATGTCTTCTGAAAACAAGTTCCAGTGTTGAAAGAAAGGATGCCGAGTTTCACTGGCTGAGCACGCCTTCTTAGGCAGGAGTAAAAAACTGAAACATGGTAACAATTCAAGGTGAGAGGTGTCACCCTGTGAAGACAGAAGGCAGGGGTGGATTTGAAAGCCAGTGGCTGAGCTAGAGGGCAGCTCAACATTCTTTCTGTTTTCAGGGTTCACAAAATAGATAATGGAAGCCAAGCTACCAAGTTGAAGGCAGCAGAAGAGCCCACCCAGCCATTGTGGGGATGGGATCGAAGACCAGGTTAGCGCACCATGGAGTCTTGGTCACTGAATGAAGTGCCTGAGGTGCACAGAATGTCATTCTCAGTTCTTGGTTTCGAGTTACATATGGAGAAAAACTGGGGGTGAGGAGGGTCAGGTAGTGATTTACTGCAAGCTTACAAGGCTCACAGCAATAGGACACTTAGAGAACAAGAACCATAGCGGTCTGGATGATTAAGGAGGAGCAAGCTCAACCATGATCTTGTAGGAAGAAGGAAGAATGCAGCCGAATGCCACCATCAGAGCTGCCTTAGTTGTGAATGAATTCTAAGTGACTGTTTAGCTTTGGACATACACTCAGACTTCAAAATCCCAGAAGCAAAAGTCGTGCAGCCAGGATCCCAAATCTGAGACTCAAGGTGGCAGAAGAATCCAGTGGGCCAAGCGCTGGATATTTGCTCAGCTCTGACAGCCTAGGGATGTGGGGTGAGCCTAGACTCTCTGACATCTGTGGTAGGTGGAGGCCACTACTCCTCAACAAGACTCCAAAACAAGAGTCTGTACCAGCAAATGGAGGACGTTGGATATAGCCAGCCCCCAAAGTGAAAGTCTATGAGAGCCCACCACACACGGGATTGGATGCAGCCTTATAAATCCAGTGGTTCTGGCAAAGAAGATGTGGACCACTCTAGCATCTATAGTAAATATCAATCACATCTATAATTTAATAAGCACCTAGTATGAATTGAGCAAGATAATGAGTGCCACATACATATATCATCACATTTAATTTTCACAACTGCCCCTGCAAGGGGTTTTATGTATTCTATTTCACAGAAAAGGGACCTGAGGCTCAGAGAGGCAAGATAACTTTTCCGGTGTTGCTCAGCTTGCAGTTAGAATTATAACTCAGATCTAGATATCTAAGCAAAGCAGCAGCTCTTTCTACCACCAGATACTATGATCTCCTGGCAAGACCAGGTAACCCTGCATTTCCATAGCAAGAGGACTTTGGTGGAAGAAGGATGAAGAATCGATGGTAACCAGGTTGGAGAGGACACTGTTGATAAGGGTTGAACCAAGCTGGCATCTGAAGTCATCCCCCCAAATGAGAGGGAAGCAATCAGCTACTAGGATAATCCTAACAGTACATTATTTCCAGTTTTTACATTTTATCCTATGGCTCAAACAACTAACAGGCAAGTGTTTGTTGAGCAGAACACTGTGATGTTAGGTCCTATGGAGGATGCAAGAACAAGTAACCTTGAAATCTTACTGTTTTCCTATATGCTTGAAAAGCTATGCAGCAACTTGAATTATATGGCCTCAGATATTAAGTGACAAGGGTCCCAAGGAGGGATAGTCAGAAGAATTTCACAAAAGAATTAACTTTTGTTAGCTCATCACTGAACATTAGGTTTGGACAAATAAAATAGAGACAAGACAGTATATACTTAGAAGGGGGAATGACATCTGCAAAGGCAGAGAGACAGCGAGATTAGCCCAGCCTGGAGTGGAGAGTTGATAATGTAGTGAGAGAGAAAATTAAAAAGCAGGTTGAGGGGTGCCTGGGAGGCCCAGACTTTAAGCGTCTGCCTTCGGCTCAGGTCGTGATCCCAGGATCCTGGGATCGGGCTCCCTGCTCAGCGGGAGGCCTGCTTCTCCCTCTCCCACTCCCCCTGCTTGTGTTCCCTCTTTCACTCTGTCTTTCTCTGTCAAATAAATAAATAAATTCTTTAAAAAAAAAAAAAGCAGTTTGAAACAGATATATGCAGGTATTTTGAATTTCTAGCTTAAGGGGCTTGATATTTACATTGAAAGCAATGGGAATCTGAGGGAGGTATTTGAACTAGTTAGGCATAGGTCCAGCACCCACTATAGTTCTTGGAAGCTAACAGATATTTGATACATGTTTGCTAAGTGAGTGAATGACTGAATACTATGTATAGGATGGGCTGGCAAGAAGAGAGAACAAATCAAGGACTCCAATTAGGAGCCTCTCCCATTAGCAGTCTGGATGATACAGATAGAAATAGAAAAGCCACAGAAAGCTTAGAGACAATGAAAAAGACATCATAAAAAGAAAAGAAGATTATTCTAATTCCAGCACTATTTTCTGATTGATAGTTTGCACCAAGAACAGAGGGAAACAATCTACTAACCTCCAAATTCAAGACTCCATAAATCTACCAGTGGAGCCAAAGATGCTTGTGCGTGTCTCTGGAAGTCCAGAGATTAAGTCGAGAGAGAAAAAGGACAGAAATTTTTAAAACAGAAAGCAAAAATATAAAAACTCATACATGTTAAGTTTTGGAGCCAATGTTTCATCTTTCTGCTAACGGTTAATTGATACTCAACTTACCTGTGGTGAATGAACAAACACAGAACGGCAGGTCTTGTTATGTCCATTTTGCAGATGGGAAAAGTGAGGCTCAGAGAAGCCCAGCATCTCACAGCGACTTGACTCCAAGTAATCTGAATACAAATCCTGTTAGCTTTTTGTTTGTTGTTGTTTTCTATGATCTCATATGGCAGAAGGAGAAAGGAGAAAACAGAAAGAAAAATATAGAGAAAAATACAAACCTAAGAAGTCCCACTGGTAGGTGGCTGGGGAAATACGTGGTGAGGCTGCATGAACCTATGCTCAACTTTTCTCTTTGCCGTATGAACACTCATATGTTTACCTAAAAGGATGAGCAGTGAATCATAATCCATTTTCTCTCCTGACAGTATATATTTTCTTTTTAATGCAGAGAGACAGCATATACGTACTTGGCATTTTTTTAACAAGTCTGTGTTAGGTCAGTAAATGCCTGCCTTCCCCATTTCGCTCCCTGCATCATCAGTTATAAATTCCATCAGATGCCAGGGAGCTCTCCCCCAAGCCAGTAAGCCCCAGAATTACATAAAGCTACACCCTTCTGACCAAACAAGATCTTACCACTGGGAACAAGTTGCTTGGTTTCAACAATTTGGTTTCTTGACAAGAGCCAGAAAGTGCTGAGATCCCCTCCCTGGAAGGATCAGAAACCTGGAAGAAGTCATAGATGGCATATTCCTCATGCTCAGCATCCTTCTTCATGACACGGGACCTACCAAGGGGATGACAGAGATACCATAAAAGCTTTACAAGGCACAGTGGAGCACAAAGGTTCTGAGCCACAGTTGTCTTCATAAAGATCAGCGGTTGTGCTCACCTCTCTCATAAAGCTTCAACAGAAAGGTTGGCCAGATTCCTTTCTGTGTCTTGGGAAGCCCCAACAAGTTATGTTTCTTCATTATGATTCATTCAGACTCACTGAGTTCCGCTGACAAAGGAGGAATGATCCAGAGTTAGCCTCCAACGTAACTAGCGACTTCTTAGAGATTGTCACCTGAAAAATGTGTTTGAGTTTTAAACCACAACAGCCGATGACACCCCACTGAAGGCTCACAGGGTGATACCTCTTCACCTGGGCCACTTTCTGCCTTTTCTCCGATCCCCTGCCAACACCACCGCCTAGCCTTGCTCCCTAAGAAAAATGGCTTCTTTCGGAAACCAGAATCCAGGGTTACTGGGATGTATGAAAACCCCTATAGACAGGAGCTATATTATGGAGCTATAATATATGGACCATATTATGGAGTAGCTCACCAGCACATGTGGGTGAAGGGGTGAAGATCATGCAGGGACATTGTTCCCTTCAGCCCTGTGGGTAGCTCAAGCCCCCAGGGAGGTTGGCTTCCAGCATATTCTTCTCTTTGCCCTCTGCCCTTGCTTATGCATCCCTAAATTATCCTTTCTTACACATGCCAAGAAGTTTAAAAAAGAAGTTGGAAAACATTGTCATCGATTATTTTGGGAACAACTTGGTAAAGCCTTTTAAGGGACAACTGGGCAGAATTTATCAAATGCCTCAAAAAGTGCATGCCTTTTAAACCAGAGATGCCAACCACAAGTGATTTATTCTAGGCCCACATTTAGGTATAAAACTGTAAAAGTATAAGGATGGTCATCACATGTTGTTTATAATGAGGAAACATTAGAAACAATTTATGTGTCTACAAACAGGGGTTTTGTTAAGATCATTACGGCAGAATCATTCAAAATCATATAAAAATCATTTTATTGATCTGGCAGGAAATTTATGATATATTATTAAGTAAAGAAAAGAAGATCAAAAGACAGTAGTTGGAAGTAGTATTACATTTTTGTTGAAAAATAGAACATTAAAAGAATAGAATATATTAATATGGTCATATATTCACAAATATATATATTATAAATATAATAAAAGCCTGTGGCATGGTGGTATGGGGATGGCTTGGTGTATAATCGCTACTATGGTGGTGGTATGGCCTTAAAATTTGGCATTTCTAAAGTTAGGCAGTGGCTCCTGGGTGGCTCAGTCGGTTAAACATCTGCTTTTGGCTCAGGTCATGATCTCAGGGTCCTGGGATCGAGCCCCACATTGGGCTCCCTGCTCAGCCGGGACCCTGCTTCTCCCCCTGCCCGCCGCTCCCCCTGCTTGTGGGCGTGCTCTCTCTCTGTGTCAAATAAATAAATAAAATCTCTAAAATTTTTTTACAAATTAAAAAATAAAGTTAGACAAAGGTGAAGCCCTGAGGATAAGGGAGAAGGTCTTTTCCAAAGTGGAAAATCCCTGCTGTGGTCAGTCCCTCAGGAATAAGGGTGTATATCTTAGCAATTAAGCATTAAAAAAAAAGAGATTTCCTTCCTGGATCTTTTGTTCCCTGGTAATCTCCTTGAAAGTCTATAAGATCCATAATCCTTCAGAGTGAACTAGTCAAGGGAGGAGATGTCAAGGTCAAAGCTGAATTCTGGGTCATTTTCTTTGTGCAATCCCTTAAGAAGTTGTAAAATCTTTTCTACATTTTGATCTGTTCTGGGGAGCCAATAATAATGATAGCAATAACCACCATTTGGGGGCTAGGCACTTAATATCCATTATTTCCAATCCCCCTCCTTCCCCACATCTGCGTGAGTTGGAAAGGAGCATTTTCGTGTTGCAAGAAGAAAGAGCTAACAATCCTGAGCATTTATGCTAAGCCAGACACTCTTCAGGCCTCTGCCTCGACTCTCATTAATTCCTTACGACAACCTCCAAAAGTACTGATTCGCTCCCACTTCACTGTTAAGGAAGCCAACGAGGAGCTGCAGAGAGATGAGTAGCCCTCCCGAGGTCACACAGCTTGTTCGTGGGGGGATGGGACTCAGATTCAGGTGGTTTGACCCTAGAAGTTCTAACTGTAAGATCTACTCCCAAATGACGGAAACACAGGAAGGGGGCTTATCCATGGTAAGGCCAAAGTGTTAAATCGGGAAGCAATTAACACTGGAGGCCAGCGTGACAGTGGCAGAAGGATTAAAAAGAAAGCCGTCCTCCCCAGATGGAAAGTCAAATCTCCCAGGGACAGACGGATGCTGACATGGCTGGCTTGTCTTCTGACACCCTGCCACCCCCAGGCTCTTCATCCGATGCTAACTTTGGTCAACTCGTTCTCCACTTTATTGAGAGAGGCTGCATTCTTTAGTCATATCGAGAAGAAACTCGGATCTCCCTGTGAGATGTGTGTTTTGGTCATTTGATACACGTTGTGGACCCAGGCCTAAATCGTGGTACTGGGTTACAAGGCTAAGGTACTCCCAGTCCTGTGGTAAACATATGAACAGTCTTAATTATGGAGCATGGCTGACATGTGAACCAGGGTTCACAGAAACAGGGAGGAGCGCTCTTGGCTCTGTTGGGGAGAGGAGTGCTGTGCTAGGCAAAGCCCACGGACACCTACAGCTTGGTCACAGGCTGGCAGGCATCACCCCCAACATGCTCTCAGGCTCTCCCAGGGGGCTCCATGAAATAGGGAGCACTTGGCCTTACCTTTGGAACAAGCAAAGACCCTTGAAGCAAAAGTCTCTAAGGGGATCCTCTGAGACCTAAGACAGACAATCCCTGTCGCCCTCATCAGCTGTCTCTCTCTTCCTTGCCTATCAGAACAGTGACAATGGCCAAGGTGGCTGAAGGGGATCCGATAAGCCTGACCATGGACTGAGGCTGCCTTCAGACCCAGTATAATAAAGTTTTCCTCCTCACTTTATGCTTCGCCTCTTCTAGAAGCTCTTTTCAGCTGGATCTATACACCCAAACATGCACAAGCATGCCTACGCGCATACACTTAATGCACGTGCCCAGATTCTCCTGAAGCAAATATTATTTTTAAATATTTGAGGGCAGTGACCTGCGGGTCTATTGAACTGGAATTACTGCTGCAGCAATATCCCTTTCAAGCCAAGCTCCGATTCGAGTCAATACCTCCGGCCCAGATGCTGTGTCATGGAGCGAGAATTTCATGTGGATTATGTCAAAGTGAGCCCAGCACGCAACTGATCCATAATCGTGCTTGCTAAGAGCATTTAGCCTTTTGGCTCCAGCCCCTCTGACGTGGGCCTTAGACTTACGTCAGGAGCTAATAGCAGAAACAGGGGCTGTGCCATTCAGCTTAATTGGGCGATCATTAGGACTTCCTCCAATAAACAGAGGACGCTGGGAGCTGCAGCTGACCTCCCTGAGGCTGTCTAGGGGTCTCCTGCCCAGGAACTACCTTACACAGGATCAATTTATCTGCAGTTGCCTAATTTCCCAGCCTGATCTAATTAGTAAACACCTTCAAAGGGATCAAGCTGACTTTTGAGACAAAGTCTACCACACACGGCAAAGGTGGGCAAATAAATATTTAAAGGGCACATCTGTGTAGGTGGAGCGGGGAGGGGCAAACAGATTAGACACAGATATGCATTAACTCTGGGAGCTGTGTTGTGTAATTGTCCTTGCCCCTCCGCTGGCCCAACTTGCCCCCTTCTCCAGGGCTTCTGTGGGATCTGGCTCCCTAGACACTCAGCTACCCAGTGTCCAGAAAGCACCATCGTGAGACCTGAGCATAGCCCTGGTCATTCACTACCACAGTTGTTTTTGGATGTCAGTACTGAACGAGACCTGTGTAAGGGCCTAGAACAGAACAGTGCTATTCAGGAACTGGCTGCTGGCAGCTGGCATGCAAATGACTGCTTGGTTGTTGGCTGTTTTTATTTATTTTTTTCCAATTCAGCAATGATTGAAATGAAAGTCTGACCCTCCATCGATGACATTCTGGCAACACCAGCAGTTATCAACTGTAGCTTGGCCGAAGACCCACCCTGTCTACACCATTCCCTGACTCTTGGTGCTTTTGCTGTGGTTTGCAGCCAATTATCACGTAGCTCCCCCACCACACGGTGCAAAAACAGCAGCTCACCAGACCTCCCGGGTCACACGGTGGCTTCCAAAGAATCAAAGCTCATGGTGCACAAATGAACCATGATCACTCCACCTCCACCGTTAACACTCTGGAAGAACCTATGATAGGTACATTTTCACAAATGGATTTAAAACCAGGAGCCAGACTCGGAATCGGAGTTTGGTCCTCTGGAGTGGATCAGATGGATGGACCAATATGAGCTTCCTTAGTATGCTTGATGGCACTCGTCTGAGGGGAGATGGGACTGGGGGTGGGGGAGAGGAGACCTTTCTCAGAACAGCGGCTACCCACCAGGCATGATGTTGAGTGGCGCCTAGTCATCATCCCACTTAATCTTCCCAGCAAACCTGCAAATGAGGTATTATTACCCTGATTTCACAGAAAGAAGCTGAGGCTTAAGTACATGAATTGAACTACATACACTCCAATCTGTTCTATTTCGTGTTTGTTGTTTATCGGTTTGGTTTTAGTTTTTCTGCTCTACCAGGTATATATTGATCATTCATTCTGCAAAAATTATAAAACACTTGAAGGCAAGATCCTTGTCTGTTTTCTCCCCACTGTATTCACAGTGCAGAGCTGAGTGTGGGACCCATATTCATTCATGCATGCATTCATTCATTCATGCATGCATGCATTCACTCATACCTATTTATCAAATATGAGGGATACAACTGTGAGTAAAACCAAAAAGATACCTGTTGTCATGAAGCTTACATGTTAGTTGAGAGAGACAATCCATCAATAAATAAGCATGCTGATAAAAGAAGAATGGAAGAAAGAAAGAGAGGGAGAGAGGAAAGAAGATAATTATCAAAAAGTCATGAATGTCATGCAGAGAACTGAGATCAGAAGATATGATGGAGAGAGGCAGTGCCCGTGAATTGGCCCCTCAGTATTCTCAAAGGAGGTGACCTGAGATCTGAACAACAAGAAGGAGGAAGCTGTAGAAGATCAAGGGAAAGTGATTTCAGCCAGAGGGACCGCAAAAGCCTTGAGGTGGGAATGAGTTTTACAGGTTCACAGAAATGAGAAAAGCCAGTATGGTTTGAGCAGGTCAGTGAGGGGAAGTTACAAGAGATGATGTCATAGAGATGGCAGGAGCCAGGTGACATAGGGTTTTGTAAGCCGGGGTTGGGCTCATTCATCAAATATTTGTTCATTGAATAAATGCACAGGCCTTAAAGCACTATGGGAATGTAAGCACCAGCTGCCTTTTAGGAGTTTACAGTTGCACCAAAAGGATGAAAGAAATCCACATCCATTCATTCAAGAAATATTTACTGAGGCTCCAGCTGTACCAGGCACTGTGGTAGATAGAGGGGGTACCAGGGTGAATGAGCCATGCTCCTTACTTTCAACCAGCTTTCAGCTTTAAAGAGAGAGACAAGACCACATTACAGAGCAATAAGTTCCTTCATTTAAGGAAGCACTATGTGAGCACATGGAAAACATTGGTCTCAGCCTGGAAAAAGTCAAGGAGAATGATGAGACAGCCAAGATAAAGAATCCAGAGATGGGTGGGTCCCTGGAGGCTGGAAAGGTCAGGTAAACTTCCCATAGAGAAAACCAGCCTTAACCTGGCACTTCAGAAATGAATGGAATGTAGAGGAAAGAGGGGGAGGTTCCAGGTTGAAGAACAAGAGCGCACAGGTTCGAACCAAAGGTCAACACTTCAGTGGGCATTCAAAGCTCCCACAGTGTTTGTCTCTCTTAACCAACACCTTCCCTGCACACGCATGCTTACTCCTCCATGCTCATCCTCCCCTTGTGCCAAAACACAACTGAAATGATCTGCTAACCACTCCCCAAATTGCTGAGTGTCTCAGTCGCTCTGAAATGAAAGTCTGATCCTCATTCTAAGAACACCATCTACAGCTTCCTGATAATTGACTATTCCATGGATAGGGATCTCTTAACTTCTCCATGTGTTCTACTTTAGGACAGTTCTTTTCCTTACCAAAGAGACTCCCCCTTAAACAAGTCTGCTTCCTTGATGCAGCTATTCTTCTATCTTAATTTTAATTTCAGAAGTATTTCGGTCAAGGATTACTGGGTATGAATCAATATTAAAACCCCAGGAATGTATAACAATAACCATTAATTTCTCACTCATGAAATATGGGCTGGCTGGAAAAGCTCTGTTGCTTGCTGGTGGGTGGGTTCTGCTCCACAAGTCTCTCATTCTCCTCTGGGACCAGTGGGCCAATTGGGACATGCTATTATTATGGTGATGGCAGAAGTATAGGAGAGTGAGTCTGCCACAGACAGTAACTTCTGCCTGTGTTTCATTGGCCAAATCAAGTCACATGTCCAAGCCTAAGGTCAAAGAGAGTACTCAAGAGAGGAGTATACTCTGCTCACCATAAGGACGTGGCAAGAATAGATGCAATGGGATAAGTTACAGCCAATTTTTCAATTGACCACAGAAGTTATAAAGAATTCATCCCACTTCTCCCACTAATGTCAAATCTCAAAATGTAGAGCTCGTGTTCCTATAAATATCCTTACTTTCCAGATTAAGCTTCCTTAACTTCTTATCCAGCAGGTTCTTAGAACCCTTATCCTCACTGTGCCCTGAACACATTCTAGTTTGTTAACATTTCTAGCTAATATTTTTGGCAAATGCGATCATGGTACTGTCTTCCACTGTGGATTTGCCAGTGCAGGATAGTGTGTTTATCTGTTAGGATTTGATGCCTAATAAAACACTCCAAAAGTTAGCTCCTAATTCTTTGGGTCAGCTAGACAGTTATTCTGGGCTGGGCTGGGCATGGTTGTGCTCTTCTGTGCTTGCTCAAGTGTCTGCTATCAGCTGGCAGATCAGCTAGAGGTTGGTTGGTCTAGGATGGCCTTGGCTGTGATACCTGGGGTCTCTCTCCATTGTCTACATTCCTCCAGGAGGCTAATCAGGACCTATTTTCATGTCTGTATCAAGAGTTCAAGAATGGAGACTGCATGCTTGAGGAGTAGGTTCAAAATGGCACAACATCACTTCTGCTACATTCTATTGGCCCAAACCAATCACTGGGTCAATTCAAAACCAAGAAGTAGGGAAATAGACCCTAGCCTCCCACAGAAAAAGCTGCAAAATGCTTTGGCCATGTTTGCAATCTCCCTGACAGAGGTACCTATATCCTCTGTCCATGAATGCATTGCATGGAGTCAGGCTTACCTTGGGTCTTGGCCTCTGCCACACTGTTGACTCACAGAGTTAGAAGTCATTTAACAACGTCAGACACCGAGTCATGAACCGTTATCAAGCAAATGCATACTGCATATGCTGTTGATCTGAACCAAAGTATGATCCCTCATATTCCATTTCAACTCCATTGCTTCATCCACCTTTGATCCTTCCATATCCCTTCTTGTAACAATTCTTTGTATATCTTGTAAAAGAAGTTACCAAATTCTGAACATCTTCATGTATTTCCTTACCGTATCTGGTGTAAGCAGCAGGTTGTTATCAGGTTGGTTATAACAATGGTTTAAGGACAGCGATGATCACATTGGCCAACACTGCAGGATACTCTATGGCAGCATCATGGTACTGGGCACACAGCTGCCGCCTGCTTAACATATGAAGTCACACAAGAGTGAATCAATACTCAATGCAACACAAACCCAATGAGGTAAATCAGTAGCTCTTCAACTCTTTTTTTTTTGGTAGATTCTCCTTTTTTAAACGATGAAATATCATATAAAAATCTAACATGAGAACCAGATAAACATGGGACTACTTTGGCCAGAAGAGGGGACATTCTTGGAGCTCTTCCTACCCAACTTCTCCCATCCCAATTTCCCCTAAGATATCTGAGGCCTCGCTGGATGCCGTGGAACAAAATTTGAAAATCACTGAATGAAACCAATGCTTTTCAAACTTGGACAAACATGGCCCTCAATAAGAAATGCATTTTACATAGTGACCCAGAACACACACACACATAGGTAACTGAAACAACTTTCTCCCTGAGTGCAATATACTCTATGTTTGCTATTCTACTCATTTCACTTTTGGAATATTGATCACGAGCTAGGAAGTTGTTTTTACAACCCACTAAACAGGGCATGCCCCATAGTTAGAACCCACTGGAAGAGATGACCCCTGAAGACTGAAGAAGTCTTTCAGTGTTGAAACTGTATTGGCCTATTGTTCAATAGCTTCTGTACCCTCAGTGCTCACTGTTTGCTCTCAGGGACAAGGAGAAACTGGTGATGGACACCACCAAAAAGAGCAGAAGTGAAGTTACAGATAAGCCATAATAATGCTCCCAGGAGTAATGGAGACCATGTGCCCTCATGGACACTAATAAAATTAGTAGATTAGCTCATGAGAAGAGTTTACTCTGGAGCCAGACTAGCTAGGGTTAATTTCCCAGTTGTGCCAGTTGTAGCCTGGGTCACTTGGGCTTATTACTTATTCTATCTACACCTCAATAATGACTTCTTCTGACATACAGGTCTAATAACTAGTATCCACCCTGTAGGGTTGTCAATGGTACTAAACAAGATAATGTCTAATGGACTTAGCAGAGTCAGGAACACAGTAAGTTCCCAGAGTTCCCTAATATTAATAAGGGAGTAGATGGAGTAGGTGGCTTTTTCTCCCCCAAAGAAGCGGGTTCAGTAATCGATTAAGACAAACAATGAATTGGTCTCTCCTCCAGTCCTTCTCCCTTTCTAATAGCCAGAAGGATCTGAGTTCAAATTCTTGTTCTCTCAATTAATAGCTGGGGTCCTAACAATGGTCTTGGATGACTCACACTTTCTGAACTTCAAGATCCTCCACTGTGAAATGGGAATAACAAAACCTCTCCGAGAGAGTTGCTCTGAGGATAGCTTAAATAATGAATGTAAGACACCTGGCCCAGAGCCTATTCTGTATTAAGTCCTCAACAAAAAGGAAAGAGGCACAGAAAGAACCCGAGTCAGAGATGGAGAGAACATCTTCCCAATTATCTCTCCAAAAAAAGGAAAAAATGCTTTGAAAAACAACTGTTCATATTTTGAAAGTAATTGAAGAGCATTCAAGTTGTGTAAGGAACAGTCAACCACAGCCAAATCCCATTGGTTATCTTAGCTGTGATTTAGTGCTCTTAAATGCAGAGTCCTACTAAGAAGTTCCAACAACATGAATCATTAAATTCGCCATTTGGGGGGTGTGTGTGTGTGTGTGTGTGTGTGTGTGTGTGTGTGAGTGTGTGAGTCTCACATCTGTTTGACTCAGCAAACACAATTGTCTTCTGGGTGTCATGAAATGTGTTGGGGTTCTACGATAATTCAGGCAAGTCCCTCCCATTAGAGAATCTATAATCAATCAATAGCTCAACCTGCTCCCCTTTTTATTGAGCACATACTATGTAGCAGGGGTTTTAGACTGTGTCAGGTGTTTTAGACACGTCATTTTGCCTAATTCCCAGAGCAACCTTATCACATAGAATTTGTTATTCCCATTTCACAGTTGAAAATGCTGAAGCCACATAACTGGTAAGAGGAAGAGAAAGAATATGGACTCAGATCTCCCTGAGTATTAAAGCCTTACTACTGTGCATCTTCCCATAGATTAATAGATGTAGGTATAAAGATGCCAGAAAGAACATAGAATACCAACTGCGTGGCACCTCTGTGTACATATCCCAATAATACAGGGTAGTGGTTAAGAACACAGGCCTGGCCTCAAAATTCTTGTTCTTGACTGAATAACTCCCAAGTTCAAGAGAGAGAATTAGATGGATACATGATATAAAATAAATTTTCTTCAAATGCGCGTGCATGCGCACACACACACAGAGCTGAAAGGTACCTTAGAGAACATTCCATTCAGTCTCCTTACTTTGCAGATGAGAAAGGCAACACAGGGTGGAGGTGAGTGCACCAGGGCTTTCATGGCTGGGGTCCAATGGGGAAGGAGAGACAGTCACCCTTAGAACCAGGGGCATCAGAAACCCCAGCCCTGGGCTCTTTCCAGCACCCCTCCCCCACCCACCTTTCTTGATAAATGTGCCCAAATTTTCAAATGGTTACTCCCCGAATTGAAGGAAATGTCTCAGATAAGGCAGATTCTGGCAGAGGAAGAATGTCCACCTCATTCTGAGATTTTCCCCTATCTGCTCATTCGTAGAGATCACAAGGGGGGCAGGGGAACGCTCGCATGACGTGACTTCTGGATCTTCATTCCCAAGAATGCAGGAAGGTTTAAATAAATCAGACTGCAGGCAAGAATTCAGACAGGCTCCCCCACATGTTCGGTGCTTTTTTTCCCCTGGTGGATACCATCAGCTGTCCTGTTGCTAAGAGACCAGAGTGGGTGGGAAAGGCCAATAGTCATATTTTTCAAACTTATCTGCAAAACTGGTTGTGCCTCTGCTCCCTCCAGGGGTTCAGCTTTCTCAAGAACAGGATATTACAACCAGGCAGATGGAGAGAGTGAGAGTACATTTTTTCGAGAAATGAACTGAGCTTTTCCTGGACATTCAGTGTCATCCAGCAGAGTCCTGGGAGCCGCCAATTATGCGTCTGAGGCAATATTTGGGAAACAGCCTCAGAGTACATATGACTCAACAAAATATTCTGATTTGCATTCCTATCTGTTGGGAAGTTGCACTTATCAGCACCAACAAGTGCTGAGGGTCGGTAGGAGTGCTGGGCTGAGCTGGTCACTGGAAAATTAAAAAGGAATAAAAAAACAAGCAGAGGTTGTGGGGAGGAGAGTATTTGAATCACTCCGGGACTTTCCTTTTCAGTTGCATTCCAATCGGACAGACCTAAACCTGGCAGAGTCATTCCATTGCTCAATGTCAAAAACATTCGCCTGGAATGCAGGACATGTGAACTTGGACACCCCCCGCAGCTTCCCTGTGTGGCCCAGCATGCTGCATCCACTATAAACACACCCATCATGAGAGCAGAAGGAGAGCCCAGGCTGGGGTGACCAGGAAGGTGGCACAATTTCACATAAAGGAAAGCAGGGATATAAAAGGTGAGCTCTGAACAGCATTCCTCCCTCAAGGTCTTTGTACTGGCTCACAATACACTCCGATGAGCCAAGCCGAGATGGAAAATGAGCCCTTGGGAACAGGCTGGTGGATTTTTTTGCCTGCAGAAGAAAGCAAGAATGTGAAGTAACTTCCTCCTTTTCTGGGTTCCTACTTGGCAGTTTGAAGGCAGGAAAAAAAAAAAAAAAAAACCAAACCTGCTCTAATCACATATTTCCAAAGAACTCTAAGAGAGATATACATGAACATCTGATTCCCTATTCTGCCAGCTGCTCAGTGACTCCTCCTACCTTGACTTAATCAAGGTAGCAATCATTGTCACTCTCGTATAAATGAGACTATAACTCAGCATACACAGAAAGCCCACTTAGACCTTGCATCATGTTCCAGAGCTCAGTGTCCCGGCCAGCAAAGAACTAATGGTTGGCAGAGCAATCTGGGTAACCAAATACAAATCACATCACCCCCTCTCCACCTCCAAATTCAGGATAAAAGAAAGGAAGACATCACCAGTGATGTGCCTTCCACCATGGAGAATAATGGAGTAGAGTGTAGGATGCTGTGTGTGAGGATCAGGGATACACAGGTTCTAGGGAAAAAAAAAAAAAAAACACTTAAGTTAAATCAAATGTTTACTGTAAACTAAAAACTTGACAGCTTCATCCCATTTAATTTTCATAAAAGCCAACAAAGTGTCAGCAATCCCTTTTCAGACTTACTGTTCTGTAGGATATACTAGCCTTGAAAGTCCCTACTCTGCCAAAGAGGAAAACTTGCTTCTAAAAGTGATGATTACTCAAGCCAGCTGTCACAGATGATGCAATCTTTCACATAGGACAGCAATTAGCTGAAATAATCCCAAACCACTGTTGCCCTTAATTCCTGATCGCCCTTCTGGGTTTGCAGTTTTGTCTACCAAACAGACACTTAAAGTGGCAAGTGAAAGGACTATTCAAAGAAGATTCTAGAATGAGGTTAAGTGTGCCTTTTTGGAAGACTGACAGGTGGGTAAGAGACCACTCAGCCAAGGTGAGTGAGATAAAAGGCAGGGTGCTCAGAATTGAGCTTATTGCCCTTTAATCTCCAGAGCTCGGCTGGAGGAGGTGGAAAGTGGGAGGGGCTTAGGGCAAGAACACTGATATCAGGGCAGATCCCATTATTGTTTTGATTGTGGACTGACTGTGTGACACAGACCTTTTATTTTCGAAGGCATCAGAATGTAGTAGTCTGGACATCAGCCACCTTGTCCCTCTTCAACGGTCTGATGAAACTTATTGTCTCCCTCATGGCATGAAAACTTATTGTCTCCCTCATGGCTGAGCCAAGTGATAGCATTCAGAGCCATGATTATGACTTCATACATGATCCATTGCAAGACAGGGTTTGATCATATTGACGTATCATCAACAGATAAAACAATGAATCACATTCATGTCTGGATTTGTATTTGGAGAAGGTAGTAAAAGAGTGGGTCAAATTCTCTCTTGCATTGGCCAGAACATAAAGAATAATGCTATCCTCGCAGTAGGTGCCTCTTGCATAGAAAGATGCTTTGTCATGGGCTGAGGAGAGTA